GCTCAATTCGATCAATTTAAGAATTTTGCGAGGTATAATTTGGAAAATTTTCTGGTCAGTATGTTAAAATCACCTGGTTGTACTCGTCATCTAAGTAATTTGACTTTGTTTTGCAATTATTTGAACTGCAATGTCTACTTCGTCCGTAAACACACTTATTAGGAAACTAATGGTACACGCGTTGTTTCTACACTGAACCAGAAATTTGAGTTTCTAATTGCAAAACGCAGTCCCATTCAGTATTAGGGTTAAATCCCCGGGTTCAGCGTAATCCGATAGATCGCCCCCCCCCCTCCTCCAAAAAAATATATTCAGTGTCAAAAATGCACGTATTCGGTATATAGGTATTGCACACCATGCGACCTATAAATGGACGTATTTCTGCCAAACGGAACTATGTACATTAGGACATGAGCCCTAAGTCTCATAAGAATATATGCATAACAGGGCTCACGTCATAATGTAAATTGTTCCGTGCTATGTAAGTAATGGAACATAAAAGCTGGAAAATTCCTAGCAAAATGAATTCATTTGGATGAAAAGAAAAAGCGGAACTAAGCACTGTTGGGAAATTGATTCCATCCTGGAATGAGAGAAAATGAACTAAGCATTAATCAACGTCTAAAACATGGGGCATGTTTTAATTAGCTGGACACGGAGATATTGGTGGAAGAAAAAGTGGCAACTTCAGGAGAGATCATGTTAGTGGTAATATTATTTTGTTGGCGTTTTCTCAAAGTAGGTGAAATTAGAGTTACGTCCTTCCACCTCCGAGTAGGAGAGCAAGACGACGTAGGCGTAGACTGGATATGGAGTAGGAGTAGAAATTATCGCAATTCTCACATATTAATCTTTCATCGCACATTATGGCCAGTTGAATATGTTCATAGAATTGACAATTCTATTGTTCTTGTTTTTCCGTTCACTACTCGATTCGATATGAGATGAGCTCACCTACTTGGCACTATACGTGGTCAATTTTCCATGATCCATGGCATCGATCCAATAATTCCACTCAACAAATACCTGATGTCAAATCTGCAAGCTTTCGGATGAAAATCAGTTTGATTGTACTTGATGTATGTACAGAATTGTATTTAAATTGGTTCCCTTTTATTATTATGCTGGGGAAAAGACTTGTTCAACTTTCCTATTCAGCGTTAAAGTCGCCAAATCATTTAAAAGATCAATGTATGAAAAGTTTCGGAACGCCGCTACAATTCCGTGAACCGTTCAGTCCTTTGAAAAAGGGATTCTATTCCTTTTATTAGGGATCAACCCGCAAAGGTTCGACTTGGGGATATTGAGACCTAACCACAACACCCTTAAAAAGGGAAAATTAGCTTCTCGCAAGGCGTTTCAGCAATTTTTAATTGATAAAGATGGTAAAATGGACAAAAGCATTTGACAAAGATTTCCTTCTTCCTCCTCTTCTTCTTCTTCTTCCTCTTTTTCTTCTTCTTTTAATTTACCCTATTTCATTTTTAATAGAAATTGAGATAAGTTTCACTCAAGTGAAATTTATTTTTTGAAACATAAAACGAACACTAAAACTCAGTTCTAGAAAATTTTCGAGTCTGAAGTTGATGTATGTCATGTGATATTCCGGAAAATTTTTCAGTTAGACACATTCTTTACAAAACTGTTGAAAAAAGAGTCCCTCCAGGGCTGGGTGTGTGGTTTTTATTTATAATTTTTTTTATTACAATTTAATTTTTTTGTGAATTCTAACATTATTCCGCGCGATGCGATTATAGAATAAGTACCTATGCGAGTTGAAAACAGCTACATCTATCCTTAATACATGTTTCAGCAAAGTAAAAAAATGTGCATACCCATGCACTGTGCAGTTATCTATCCCGGCGTGTACTTATACTAAAATAATTATTCCTTACAAAGAATGTAAAAATATGAGAGGAGTTAAACTTGTTTATGTTAAAGGGAATTGTGTTGCATGTAAACCTTCGCACATTCTTCCCTCTAGTGTAAATACGTCCAATTGACCACCGACTTAGGTTGATATGTATAGGCACTGTATCTTTCGTTGCATAAAAAAGATAGTGCGCTCTCCGTCTAAAACTTTCGCTGCATACATGAAGTTCAGAATAAGATTTTACAATGTGTCCAATTAGCCACTGTATTGAGACACCTATCAGAATTGCTGTTTGAAATGAGTTTTTTAGCTACCTACCTCTTCAATTCAATTCATAAGTTTTACAGTGAAAGTCGCGGAATTAAAAAAAAAAAAAAAAAAAAAAAAAAAAAAAAAAAAAAAAAAAATCCATGAGTCCATTATAGAGCGGCCTTTGTTCTGCTTCCAAAAAGCAATGCTATACTTCCAAAAAATTTAGATTCACATTATAGAGTGGCCAATATACTAACTGAAAACTAAAGATTGGGAATGACATCAGCTTCCTTTGGTTACTGAATCTCTAAATAGATCAATTTTCTTTACGGGTGTACATAAATTAGGTAGTTATTAATTTCTTTTACATTTTTAATTGAATGAACGTATTAATGTTTAAAACGGTGGGGACCTGGCAAAAATACATTAAATAGAAAAGAACAGTGTACGTCAGATTTTCGTGTTAAATAGTACTCTTGCTCGAATTCATCTGTGCACAGTTCAGCTTGGCATAAATTGGTAAATCCTAATAAAGGCGTCTCTCACAACAGGAGCGTTGTTAACATTTTCTTAAGTTATTCGTGAAGATTTAGTACAACTTCAATTGGACTGCATTTTGCAATTTGGAACTATAAATTCTGGCTCATCTGAAAAAAAACACTTATTAGCGTAGGGAAACTAATGGCTCATACGTGGTTTTCAAACCGGGCTAGAATTTATAGTTCCAAATTGCAAAATGCAGTCCAATTGCAGCACTTAAGTAATACCCGATTTCAATTTTTTTTTTTTTTCATTTCGGACCTTAAAGTACGGAGCCCTTAAGTCAAAAGTTTAAATGCTTCAAAGATGTCAATCAGGGTCAACGTGACTCATTTTAATAAGATAAATTAAAACCTAAAGCATACTTTGGAATATACACTAATCACTAATCGGATATCAGTGTTTAACCCTATGAACCGTGGAATATTGTTGTCGAAAAATGTGAGAATTGCACGTGTTAGATAGTAGGTACCTCGGGGGAAGGAGGGGAGGAGCTCTTCATCCCATACGATAAACGTTCCATTTTGAGTTCTCGTGTAATATTATCTACGGTACATGGAGAAAAAAACTTACATTGGTGTTCCATACTAACCGAAGTTTTTTCTCGGCGAATGAGCGTTTAAAATGAATTGTATCTTGACGAATTATAGTTTGAAGTGAAGCCCGTGCGGAAGTGCACCTGAAACTTTTCCGGTCCCCTAAATAATGCAAAATCTTAATTTTCACTCAGCAGTCTCATATTTTTGGACTTTTGGCTTCCTGTTTATTATTTGAAATTAATTTTACAAAATTTTTAGTTCGTTTTCGCGTATTGTGCTAAATGATGGTGTTGATGACTATATTAAAAGTAAAAGTTTTCGATGTAGAGTGTATCATTACTGTCACTACCACCTGTGTGCCCGTTGTGAGTCGCATAGTATGGACAACTACAAAGGATGAATTGCGCGTGGTTTCACAATGTCTTCCTCTCTCTTTAAAGCTGACTCCCTACGGTGAGAAAATACTGCCTTCAGAGGAACCGAACTTGGGTTCTTATGGAGCACATTTGTTGGTGCCTACAGGTAACTAAAGTTTCCAATTGTACTTATATAAACCGAACTTGGATTAAGATAAGCAAAGTCTTGTGTGAAAAATGAGTCTGAAAATACCAAAAAAAGCTTTAGTCCCTGAACTGAGATTCAGTCCCCATGACCAAAAAGTTTAGTTACCTGGACTCAGCGGCGTGGCAAGCTTTGCGATTTATCGATTGATCTGCCATTTAAACCTGTGAAACATGATTGATAAACAGGGTGTTTGCAACGAACACCTTAATTCGATTCTTCAGCATAGTTTCAAATGGGGAAATATCGTCGACTATCGATCATTCACGCCTCGCCACTGCTTGGACTCAATAATTAAGTAGGCACTCCATATGAACCCAAGTTTTTTCTCCATGTCCTCTTCCCAGTGAGTAACTTTTTATAACCAAATGGAATATTTATAGATAAATGACGCAGGCGAATAATCACATTAGACATTTCGTCAAATATTCTTATTTGTATTGAAATTCTTATTGGTTTCCTAATTACAGACAAAATAATTATTTGCTCCCCTAGAAAAGAAGTTTCTGTAAACATTGGGATCATACAAAGGTAAATTAGATCCAGTCCTTTCACGAGATTTTATCTCGGGATTTTCAGCATGTTATAAAATGGGGATTTTCAAAATGTTGACGGTTAAAATAACTATGTGAGGAGCGTTTGAAGATTTAATTACAAGAGGATTTGGTAGATATGATGAATTTTAAACATTATCCACTGTAAACTCTCGGTAACTTCATGAACATACAGACTTCGTGAACAATCAAATTTTGACTATGAACCCAGGCATTTGATAACGGGTATATAGGTACCTGATATGACTTTTTGCTTGCGACGAATATCGACGGCCCCAGTGCGGAACCACGTATCTCCGTTGGCGACAACGCAGACTTCTTTTCAGACTTTATTGTTTCTTTGGAAAACCATTCAACGTAAATGCTTGAAAACATCCTCAATTGTTCTTCTCTGTCAGAAGAATATTCTGTATTTATTTCAAGCTGTATATAACCGACTCGTTCCTTTTCGAAAAAAATGAACTTGCAGCAAAAATTTTAAAACAAAGCAATGGAGATTCACAGTTTCGTTGTTTAGCTATCGAGTTGAAGATTAAAATGCGGATAGAAGTGGGTAGATTAAAAGAATTATTACATTGAAAACATTGAGCACTCTAGACTCATGGTCATTTGATGAAATGCCTGATTTGACTAGTTGCCTGCGACGGATATTATGATTAAAATTGGGGGGAGGTGGCTTACCTTCTTCAATGGGGTCTCCTGAGGCAGATTTGGCGGAAGCATCAGAGGAAGGATGGGGGCTGGCCACGGCCGAGGCCGGCTCGAATTCATTGTGGAAAAACTTAGAAATTCCAAACGTGAAAAGTTGTCCTATCTCTTCAACTAAATCACCGGCACTTGTCGAGTCGTCGAAGGTGTCGGGGTCGCTGCGAGATACCCTGACGACCTCGGCACTCCACTGTTTCAATGCCCGGAGGGATCGGGCCCTGAGGCAACGGTTAGGCGAATCGCCTTTGAAGCACCCGAAAATCTCGGTCCACCCGCTGCCACCCACCTCGGCATCCGCATCGTGAGAGGGCACAGCGTTATCCTGGGTCCCCGCCGACGCCGACGCCGACGCCACTTCGCACCACGCTTCGCGTATCGCCGACGCGGCCACGAGGAAAATCAGGACGTACGACTTCATGGTCGCAGCACACACACACAACGATTACTATTCGGAGCCGACATGATTACCCACCGTTTTATACCCGGCTACCACCTCCAGCCGACGCCGGGCCGCTTCGCAAGTGGCACACCGGTCTCCCGGACCCCTGGATCCCACAGCCCCCCCCCCGTCCTCTCCGGCCGCAACGCGCCACTCGCCCGACTCGCAGATTCTCGCCGCCGACCGCCGGCCTCCACCTCGTCCAGTCCTTTCCGCAACCCCTATCATCCCGCTGCCGGCCCACGGTGGATCCAGTCCATGGCAGACCTCGGACAAAATTTCAAAACTTTCAAAGTTTATTACTCCGTTCATACAAAACTTTGAGCTCTTAAAAGTGGTTTCGTCGTGAAATTTTTTCTCAGAGACATCCTGTAAAAATTTAAATTTTGACGAATTAAACATCAAAATTTTAAGTTTTAATTGAAAATTTCATGTCCGATCTCTCTGATTTACTCGATCCACTGAGCGGTCCCCGGTCTCAGTCCAAGGTAAGTGAAACCAAGGTACGCTCTCACCTAGAGATGGAAAATTTCGTGAAATGCATTTGCGTGAAATTTCATGAAATGTTTTCAAACTATTTGGGATGCATTCAGAAGGCTATGTAACGTCTAAAAACGGTGATTCTCGATTTTGAAATTTTTTTACCCCCGCCCTCACCCCTCGTCGCCTACTCTTTAACAGCTCAGTTTTCAAAGCTTTATTCATAATTAATTCTGGCGAAAGGAACTATGTGCATTGTGAAGTGTGCCCTGTTATGCATATATTCTTAAGGGTCTCAGGGCTCATGTCTAAATGCACGTAGTTCCGTTTGGCAGATATACATCCAATAGAGCTCCACCGCGCGAGGAAAATTCCCCAACTTTCAGTGATGGAAGTACTCAAATAAACAATTTTATCCAGAGAGGGATCAATAACATCGTCTCCCAAGTCTAAGGCTTTCACGCGGTGTGGATGTTGATGTTTTCACTCAGTCAGGAGGTCAGGTTGGGGCTGAATTTATCTCTGAGCCCCCCATGTGCCCCCCTCAATCCTCATGTATATCAGCTCATTGGGGTGGCATACACTGCCGCATCATCAGGAAAATAGTTGAAAACATTTTGGGACTTCCGGCAGTTTTAATAGTAATAATCCGGAAAAAATTTAATGACGTGGAATTTCACTTTTCGTCTCTGCTCTTTCCCTTATCAAGCACCTAAAATCGACGAAACGCTCAGTCGCGTTGGTTTCGTCTCAGTTTTGGCGGGAAATTAGCCAGGGAGGGGGGGGAAGGATCAATAAGAATCGAATATTGCAGAATTTGGACTGTTTTTCAAACTTCCCGCCAAGACTGATAAAGGAGAAAAGAACCAACGCGACTGAGCATTTTGTTGATTTTGAGTGGTGTGTGTCGGAGGGACATAGGTACTTTTGTTTAACTTAACTTAACCTCAGTCCACGAAGATCCACTTCTGTACTAGGATTTCCCGACCTATCCTACCGCGATCGTTTCTACATCAACATTGCTCCAATTCTTCAACCCTCAAATTCATTTGATGGAATTTCCAAATGCTCAGTCTTTCCTCCTTTTTCATTTTCGGAATTTTTCTCGTTCTCAATTCGAGAGCATTTTAGGATTTAAAAAATATGCAATTTAAATATTTATCCTCTCATTCACCTGCACTCTTTTGATACCACGGTTCAAATGTTGTAAGTGGCAGTGTACCTATGCCCTTGTACTTGGCGCGTAACATAGAAAGTGCCTGCATGTAACTACTCTGTAATCTGCACGTAATCTGGATCTATGTAATCAAATCGTTCACGGTTACCTTTTCTGAGTTGAGACTGAGTGTACGCTCTTCGTCTGCAATTTTGAGAAGCTAGTTTGCTTGAAGGCATAGTATTAGATGGATATCTTTCTTGGGATAGGGTGCATTTTATCACCCATATTCACGAACTCCCAAGCTTTCTGTTATGAAGTACCCTCCACTCTGACGCTCTATTCAAAAATGTTTATATGAAAGTGGCTGAAAAACTATGAGCTCGCAGCTCCGCCAATTTTTCCAATCATGTTATGGACCCTTTGAGTCATTTCCCCATATGAATTTTGATGGACTGATCTGAATGTTTTGAGATCAGCACTATGTCTCTCGTCAGGACTGGCACAATGTAGGTAAAGATCATGAATAAAATAATTTGCACCTTTTTACAATTGAGGAGTATCTGAAGTCTTCAAGCGCGATAGAAAGTGACAGATTTCAAATTCAAGATCGCAAACGGTTGCCATGGCCGGATTTATACAAAGGTCGAAAACGAAAAGAGGAGGCCGTCGCAAACGCCCTGCTGCGGTGCGGCAACATTTGGAGATTCAATCCAGAAGAATTACGTGCAATATGTTGACTACTTAATGGGCATCGAAAAATAGATGATGAGAGAATGAAACTCTGCATTTAAAAATGTTTTGGGTACGCAGTTTACGGACGGCAAGACCGACCAGCCCCCTCCCCCTCCCGGCCACACTAGTAGGGGCGGAAAAATCTTGACGGCCCTGGTAAAAATTGGCAGTAGAATCTGTGTTCCAAAATGCCATAGACCTACAGCCGGCTGTAAGATTTCTAATAGCTTCTATAGCCGGCCACACAATTTCTTATAGCCTTTTATTGCCGATGGCGTCTAAGCAACAGCCTGGCGATAAAGTGTATGCTATCCATTACTAATTATGGATGCTAGGATTTAGTGAGTTTTTGGACTACCGCTCTCTTTTTGGGCAGTAGTATCTTGATTTATTTTGCGAGGGAAGCTCCGTACTTTAGAAGGATACCTGCCATTCCTAATATGTTGGAGCGCCTTCAATTTCGTACGATACTGTGCAATACCTCTGGTGTGAAATAGTTGCTCCAAGCGCCGTGGTACGCTGCGGCGCAGTGCGGCGGGCGGGCAGCCAGCGCGAAACGCGCATTGGCGCCTACAAACCTAACAGGGATACTTCATGCATTGCGCAGTGCGTGAAGTATCCCTGTTAGGTTTGTAGGCGCCAGTACGCCACCGCGCGTCGCTCCACTTGGTGTTAGGCTCTAATATTTAATCTTGTGGAGTCAGCGTTGTTCAACTCATGACTTTGAAATGTTTGCACATCCTGTATGGATTATTCTCATTTTAATTGATGAAAACAAATATGTAGTAAAGGAAAATATAATGTGCGTTTTGTAAATATTATGGTGATTCCGTACAAACTTAAGGATTTATAAAGTACACGAATTTCTACACAATTTCTTATAGCCTTTTATAGCCGATGGCAAAAAAGCAACAGCCAGTCAAAAAAGTGTAAAGCCCGGCGACAGGTACTATAGCCCGGCTGTATAATTTTTTATCGCTTCGTGTAGCCCGGCCGTATGATTGTTTCCACTTTCTGCAGCCAGCTATATGAATTTCTATCGCCTTCTTCAGTCGGCAGTAAGAGCTCCAGTGATATTTTGAAACGCAGCTCCTATCGCCAATTTTTACTAGGGGGCCGCGGCCTAGGGGTGGGAATTACGCAAATCCGACCACGACGGCTGCTTGGATTTTGGATGCATTTCGTAATGGTAAAAACTTAAAATATCGGCAAGGTAGATAAGTGAAAGTGTATGACATGCTTTTTTTACTTTTTTTTATAATGCAAGGTGAAAAGAAACGTATTGAAAAAATAAATTTCCCACGTACGTCACCTCCTTCTAAACAACATCGTGCGCTGCCCCGTTTCCTGATGCTAGTTTCTTTTCATGTTTTAATACCCCAGTAACTTGTCAGTCAATTTTTGTTCTTATCAAATTGAATTTGGACATATTTCGGTCAAACATAACTATCTTTGTATGTAGCTGTAACTCCCGCAAAATAGATTGTCAGGTCAATTTGACCTCGCCAAAGTACTAATTGCACGTATTTCTGCCGAACGGAACTATGTGCATTAAGACATGAGCCTTGAGACCCATAAGAATATATGCATCACAAGGCTCACACCATAATGCACATAGTCCCGTTTGGCAGAAAACCGTCCAATTCTTAGAAGTGCGCCCTTTAAGACGCTTGAGAGACCTTTTAAACATTTTTCTTTTCTTTTCAAAATGATTGTTGACTTGGGCATATGCATTGTAGCATTTTGAGCTAAAACTTAACCTTAACTTTTCTCAAATTTTAAAGATAAAAGACTTCGACGCGAAACAACTAACTTGCGCTTGATGGATGTCCATGTTGCATAAGCATTATAGAAGGCGTGATCGTGTGAGAGGGCGTGAACTCGCAATGTGCTGGTCTATACTGCTGCAGGGCCAGATTGAAAGGGTGGCCACCTGGGCCGCGGTCCATGGGGGCAAATTTAGGGGGCGACAAATTTTGCAATTTTTTTAAGTGTAAGTATAAAAAAAATCGGATTCGCTGAGAAAAATTACGAACGAGAAAAAGCGGTAAAATCTCTTATTTTTCTGAGAGTAGAATAATTTCTAATTTTGTCGTCTTTCGGTGATACATGAGACAGCACCTTTAATTGGACCGCGTTAAACAGAAAGGAACCAAGCCACATCAGCTATTGCCAAATGTAACTGGGCAAGTCAATTTTTCACATGAAAACGGTTGTGCGGATTTTCGTGCGAATTTCAGTGAATTTTCTCTGTAGTACAGAACAAATTCCTGAAAATTTTTAAGGGAATCCGCACAAACGTTCTCTAGTAAAATACGTAATTGCCCGGTTAAATTTGGCAATAGCTGATGTGGCTTGGTTCCTTTCTGTTAAACGCGGTCCAATTAGTCGAGTTAAGAGAGAAACCAAACACGCAATTTGACCAGGGACGGCGCGGCGCAGAGAGCAATGATGACGAGGATTTGAGCTGAATAGGAGAGGCCTTCGGCGCGGCGCGGCGGTCGGCATGTAATACATATTAGCGCCTACGTGACTGCATGAATACTTCAGGCATTGCGTCAAACACAGTGCGGTCGGCAGCGCAGCGGTCGGCGTGAAGCGCATAGCGCCTACAAGACTGTAGG